CCAGCACAAGGAGCCGCACACAGTGGGTTCCATGAGTGTGGAACTGAAGTTACTCAGCCCTGGCTGGTTTGGCTCAGTGGATAGAGCATCAGCCTGAGGACTGAAGGGTCCCGGGTTCGATTCCAGTCAAGGGCACATGCCTGCAATGATTCTCTCTCATCATTGATGTTTCTATCTCACGCTCCCTCTACTTTCCTCTCTGAAACCAATAAAAATATATTAAAAAAGAAAGTTACTCAGAGCATCCTTCTGCCTCAATATGTGAGCTCCCCAGCTCTGCCACCCCCTCCCCCAGGCCTCAGAGGTGAAACTGCATAACCCCCCAACCCAGGCCCGAAGCATATATTTCTGTGTAGGGAAGCACAGGCCTCAATATTGGGGGCTGAGAGGGAACCATGCTGTCAGTTATGGTTTAAAGGGGCCCTTCCCCTGGCAGGCCCTGGACCAGACAGGAGAATGGGTACGGTGCGCCCTGTGCTTGCCTGTGGAGAGGAGATTGCTGAGTCCACCGAGGACTCCGCCCTCTGAGTTGTTGTGACGGCAGCCCCTCCCCATCTCTCCATGTCCTGTTTTCACCTACGGGAGGTCAGTAGCAGCCAGTGTGTCATTCTCAGGATGCTCCCACTTCCTGTCAGGAGCTCAGTGAGGACAGGGTTCAAGTGTGGTCTAGGTTTGCCCTGTCACCTAGTTCTGCGTGAAGCATGCAGGAGGGACCCAAGGCAGGATTTTTAATGTTTAAAAAGTATTTTTTTCTTGATTATAAAGAGGAAGGGAGAGGGAGAGAGAGAGATAGAAACATCAATGATGAGAGAGAATCATTGGTCGGCTGCCTCATTGGGAATCCAGCCCGCAACCTGGCCATGTGCCCTGACCACGGAATCGAACCGTGACCTCCTGGTTCATAGGTCAACACTCAACCACTGAGCCACGCTGGCCAGGCCCAAAGCAGGAATTTTAGAATTGAATAGAGTCTGTTATTCCTGTTTGTCCCAGGACTGTTGAAGGACCTCACAGCTCCCATAGCGGGTGAGTCCAACACGGTTTCAAGCCCGGGCTCCAGGCAGTCCGCTCTCTCTCTGTGCACTGTGGCTTCTCCCTCCATCGGGGGAACCCTGCGGCAAGCTAGGTCTTTTAGGGGGCTGTGGCACAGGGGTGGTAAGAAGAGTCTAGGCTTTGGAGTTGAAAAGACCTGAGTTCAACTCCTGCCTCCATACCTTCCTTTGTGTTGCCTTGGCAATGACTTCATCTTTCTGGCTTCACTTTTATTATTTAGAAAAATGAAGGTAATATTCACCCCGAAAGGCTGCTGTCCTGTGTAAAACGAGCTAATGTTGGCAGAGTGTGGGAGCACACAGTAGGTGCTCAAGAAACGCAGCTCCACCACTACCCTTTCCCTTTGACGGGAGGAGAGATGTAAGGTCTGTCCCTGTGGGGACTAACCAGGCCGTTCCTTGCCTCTGATCACATCTGTATGCCAAGCACATGAGGCTGCAAAATGTGACTTGAGGGGAGAGGGTTTCCTTCCCTTTGGTGCTACTGTGGCCTAGCTCCTCCCTGACAGAATCCCAGACCTGGTTCCTTACCAGCCCAGCCCTGCAACCCAGGCGGCTGAGAGGATGACACCTGCCTCCTGTGCAGCCCGGGGCTGTTGCAAAGGTCCCCGCAGTATTTTATACGCAGTGAAGTGCTGCGCCAACACCAGGGTCACCGGTTTTACTGCGCGCACCACTGTTTTCTTAAAGAAACGTTAAGAAGTTAAAGAGCCTTGCATCATGTCTTGGTTCAAAACTTTTTTTTTTTTCCTTTTAAGCAGCAGAAAAAAGGAGGGAGAGAAGCTTAGAAGAAAAACGGGATTCCAGCCAACAGCTCTGACTCGGTTGTCAGCCAAATAGAGGAAAGAAGTGAGTAGCAGAGATTGGCTTCCAAGGCTGTTTGCTGAGCCAAGAAGGGCTGTTGCCAACCCAGCAGGGGCCTGGGGCCAAGGCCTCCTCAGGGGGCCAGCGTCCTGCCCCCTCCCCAGCCCCATTTCTCCCACTGTGTGTTAGATGGGGCTCTTGGATGCTGGGGTGCTGAGGGTGCCAGGAGGCCTTTAGGGTCTGGCTCTCTGGGCTGGGTCTGCTTCTCCTACTCAGCTCTAGAACCTCAAGAGGGGGAGGGAAGAAGGAAAGTCGAACCCCTTGCTGGGTGTATGATTCTGAGAGACGGTCCAGTGACCCCCACCCCCCCAGCTCTCAATCTGGGCTGTGTGGGAGGCGGGATGGGGGAGGGGAGAGGCTAGTAGGGGGAGGGTAGGAGGGGGCTGTGGGGAAGGTTGGGGGTGGGCTCAGAAGGTGCTCCTTCTCTTGCACTCCCTGCCTGGCTCAATTTCTTTGACATTAACCGTCCTATTTCTCGGACCAGGTGACTTGTTTTCCCATCACTGTTTCCTGCCTATCTTAGCTAGGTTTCAGCCCAAATTCCAACATGTCTCCTTGGAAACGCAGGCAAAGCCCTTGAGGCGGGTCCCTGCTGCTCTCCCCTCTCCCCAGTCCTGTCCTGCCTGGGCAGTGCTCCCGGGCTGTGCTCCCCAGGCTGCCTGTAGTCCCAGGGCACTGGCCTCCCTGGCACAGGTGTTTGGCACCTTCCTCCGGTTGCAGGCTGGATGGAGGCCTTGGCAGTGAGCATGCCGAGAGCTGGGAAGTCCTGAAAACCATCCAGGGCCCAGTTAGAAAGGGATGAGGGGGTGGAATCGGCCAGACCCACGTCAGAGCAGCTGCCACCAGCAGCCACTGAAACCTCACCGGGGGCCCTGGGGGCATGGATGGGAGGGGGAGGCCGGGCTGGGAAGGGGCTTTCTCTCATCAGCTGTGTTTTGCGCTACCCTGCCGCTGGCTGGCTGACATTCCCTCCTTGTCACCACAGTGTTTAAAGGGAAACGGAGTTGGGGGAAGGCCTGGCTCCAGGGTAGGAGGCAGGCAGGGGTCCTGTCCCTTCCTGAGTCCTAGTGGGGTAACCGGTATCAGGCCCAGAGACATCTAGAGAGAAGAGATCAGAAACCGTAGGCGCCTTACTGTCAGCCGATTTTAAAGATTGGGAAACTGAGGCCCAGAGCGGGGAAGGGACTCACACAACGGCAGAGCCTGGACAGGAGCCCTGTCTCTGGCTGCTCAGCCCTGTGCTCCTCCTGTCCCCTGCCGCCCCTCACTGACTAAGCAAATTGAGGCACCCTAATGGGCCAAGAGAGCAAAGGGTGGTAAATCCGCTAATGAGCAAGGGGTGCACTTTCGCACAGAGAAAAGGTGTTTCCTGATCCACTGTGCTTCCCGGTGCCCAAGGATCCCCTCCTCTGCTCACCGCTTTCGCCCAGGTGTAGGGCAGGATGGGCTTTCTGGCACAGGGCTTCCTCCTCCAGCTCCTGGGATGCCAGCGGGAGAGATTATCCATGCACGTTCCCGGATGCGGAGGGAGGGGGCATCTTGTGGGTCAGGGAGGCACCTCATGGGATTCCGCTTTCAGGATGAGCGGCTCCGCATTTGCAGGCCCATTTCCCTCTCTGAATGTACAGGTTCTCCCGAAGCTCTTGTTTTCTGGCACCATCTCCGGGGGTGGGGGGTGGGGTGGAGGGTGGGGGCAGTGAGGAGAGCACATGGATGGAGGAGCGGATCTGGGGATGAGGTCTGAGAGGGCAACTGTAGTGGGTTTCCTGCGGTGGTGGTGGGGTGGAGTGGAAAGCCATGTTATTACTGTGGCCATCCATCCTCCCCACCCGCTGCCACCCTGCTCTGGCCCTGTCATCAGACTGATGCCTGACCGAGATCTTCAATTCTGCTCCGAGAAATCCTTTCCTGGGCTCCCCACTACTTACGTGATAAAGTCTACACTCTCTCACTGCCCCCCCCCCCCCCCGGCTTCCCTTTTGGTGCAATAGACCCCTCACTTTCTGCAAACTCTCTCCCTGCCTCTGTCCTCCATGAGTTCCCTGCCCATCTCTGCAACCCACTCGGGGCTGTTTGCTCACTCCCACTCTCCCCCAGCCACGGAGCCTCCTTTCAGCCCTGGGTCCAGTAGCACAGGCTCACCTCTGCACCGTCTGTCCCGCTGCCCCCACCCGGCCCCACTTTGTCCTGGGGAACTTCCATAAAGCTCAGCTTCCACATCTCTCCTGGCACCCGCAGCCCGTTCCTCTCTTCTGCATTTCTCCCTCCACAGAACCTCAGAATGAACCGGTCAGGAATGTCTCCTTCTCCATGTGAGGGTGAACTGCTCAAGGGCAGGCCTGCTCCTCATTCACTGTAGGCGCCCAGTGTTCAGCATTTAGTAAGCGCTTAAGAAAACATTCATTGAGTCAAAATAATCTCTTTCTTACTGGCCTGAGAGCCCCCCAAAGGCCACCCGCCTCTGCATCACCAGGATGTCCAGAGCAGTATTGGCCTCCCACACTGCTCACAGATGCTTAATAAATTGAATTTCAGGGACGCTGTTATGGGGGTGGTGGGGGTGGTGGTGGTGGGGGGGTGATCAATAGTGTTTTCTATCTCTAAACACCCCCTGCTTGCAAACACTTTCAGGCTGTCCTGGTGAGCAACCATTCTTGGTTTTCAAAGGTGAAAAGCAATTTGCCACAAGCAGAGAGTGACAAATACTCAGGACGGGAGAGGAAGAAGGGAGGGAAGCAATTATGGGAGGGGGAGGGGGGGCGGCTGTCAACCCCACCTCCCCAGCTTTCCTTCTGCCAGTGACAAGGAAGACAAAGAAGGGTTATTTTCAGGAAATCTCACTTGCAATTCAAGAGACCAAGAGAATGCTCTGTGCTTCATTCCCTGTTAGGAATCAGGGTCTACAAGCATGAAGTACCTGGGTACTTTGGAGGTGCTGGCCAACGGCGTAGAGACCTTGTGAGTCACCTGACAGAGACTTCCACAGTACCCAAAACATAAGATTTTTAAAAAGTATTTTTTAATTGATTTCAGAGAGGAAAGAAGAGAGAGAGAGAGAAACATCGATGATAGAGAATCCTTGATCAGCTGCCTCCTGCTGGCCCCACACTGGGGATCCAGTTCACAAGCTGGGCATGTGCCCCCACCAGGAATTGAACTGTGACCTCCTGGTTCATAGGTTGATGCTCAACCACTGAGCCACGCCGACCGGACCCCCAAAACATTAGATTTAACAATGTCTCCACACATAGTCACATCTCTACCAACTCCGGGCTGCTAATTAAAAATGAAATTTTGACTTTGGTCATTCAACCATATTTGTTAAGCACCCTCCTGGTACCTACTCTACTAGTATTTAAATTGTATTTGGGGAGACAGCCTAAACACATACATACACGTACATACATACATGTATCTAAACAAGAAAATAGCAGATAGTCCCTTGTAGAGAGTTAATGCCAAGCAGTGCATGGAGCTCACAGTCAAGGAAGGCTTCTTGGAGGAGGCAAATTTGGACCTGAGGCCAGACACAGAAACTGGGGAAGGGCACTCGAGGCTGAGGGCCCAGCAAGGGTGCAGTAGGAGCAAGCTTGCGTGGTCCAACATCTGAGGAGGAAGAGGGAGGGGCCCACATGAGGTGGGTCGCAGAGGCAGCAGGTGTCAGATGGACTTTCCTCCTCACCAATGCAATTCACAGGGAGCGGGCTTGGTGGGAAGAGAACAGTGGCTCCGGAGTCGGGGCTCTGGATCAGGCTCAGCCACTGATTTGTTGTGGGTCAGGCAGGGTGCTTTCCATCTCTTGGACCCCAGCTCCTCTTGGGAACTCCACTTCACTTTTTCTGGGTAACGTCTGACCACCCCTCGCTCTGCAAAGCCATGCCATTCCTATAGGTGTCTGCTGCGGCACAGATGAAAACAAGATAAAGCATCATCCCATCCATGTTAATCTGCCTGAAGAAACCCAGCACCCTGCCATTAAGACCTGCACGTTCCTGGGGGTCTGGGTTGGGCCCCCTTTTAAGATGAAGACCGCTCTTCAACCGTCCTGACTCTGGGTTGCTGGCTTTCCTCATGCCGACAGCTGGCCTGCAGCTGGCCAGCTGTCAGCCTGGGTGCTGGCCTGATGGGGTGGCTGGATTGTCAGGAAGCTACATGGCAGCCCTGAGGTTCCAGCCTCAAGAATCACCAGCAGCCTCTAGAAACAGGCCACCACCCAGCACCTTCCTCCCTCCCGACTCAGGGTGACTGGAGTGTGGATTTTGGCCAGTGAACACCCTGCACCAGACTCGTGTGTGGCAACCAGAGGACCACCCAGCCCCGAACAATCGGCCTGCTGCGTTCAGGGTGGGTTGTTTTCGAGCGCAGGCTTGTTTTTCCTGGCACTGGGCAGGCCGCAGGCTTCGTGGCCGGGAGGAGCCTCTGTGGGCTCTGTTCACACCGCGAGGGGAGAGAAACACACTTTTGTGTGTGTGTGTAAACAAAAGGTTACATAGGAACAGACTGTTTATAACCCATTAAACCGCCTGTCCCGATACATGCCGGCCCCTCCCACACGTGCCTCACACATCCAGCGTGTGCGTGTGCGGCGCTGCGGGCGGTACCAGCACCGAGGCGTGGCCAAGCACTTCTGTTCTGAATAACCCTCTGTGGTGCTGTGGGCTAATTAATACCAGGGAGGAGCTCGGATCCCGAGGTGAACAGAGGATCCTGGAATCCCCAGGAAGAGGGGGAAGGGAAGATCCCTAATGTCCTTGGCTTATGACCCCCTTTGTAGAATTTCCTCCCACCATCGGTCTGTCCAGGAGTTCACTGCCCGGGAGTCGTCTACTCGTGTGATAGGAAGACTCTTCCTTAGAGCTGCCAAAATCCGCCTGTAAGTGTCCGTTCCAGGGCACTGTGGGGCCAGCGAAGGTCCCGCCCCTGACTGCCCTGCGCTGCTGGAAGCCAGCTCTGATCTAGGGGGAGCTGCTTATGACCTGGTTTAGAGCCCCCCCGCCCCCCCTCCCCAGCTTCATTACTTCCCTAGAAATGTGGCTCCCAGGTGCTCATCAAAGAGCTGGAGAGGGGGCAGGAGAGTCCTGGTGTCCTCCAGAGGGAGATGGGCCGGCCACCCAGTCACCTGCTGGGCTCCTCTCAGGCCCCCTCTGCCTGCCCTGCCCTGGGCCACAGGCTCATCTTCCCCCTCGTGCGGCAGGTGGGAGCACTAACCCAGGCGATATGATTTTAATAACAGCACGTGAGAATCGTGCCTTCGCTGTTGTCAGGAGCATACTCACGCTAAGGCTTTGAGCAACCAGGGACTGGGCACAGCAGGGGTTACCACCCCGTGATACAGCTGAGGAAACTGAGGCTCTGGGGTGAAATGACGTGACCGTGGTCTCAGGTAGATGGCAACACTACCAGGGACGGGACCCCACGGGTTTTGAGGCCAATCAAATGCCTTTTCCACGCTCTGGAACAGCTCAGCCTAGCGGGGGAGATAAGACAAGTTCATAAGGAAACAAGGGACAGTGAATCCTCTGTGTTCCCGGCACAGGGGCGTGGCCTGGGCCTCAGGTCCTGCCCCTCCTCCCCCACTGCACCTCCCACTGCTCAGGACCAGTGGCCAAGGGGAGGGGCTGGGTGTTGTGACCCCTCCTGCTGCCATGCTCTGGCCCTGAGACCAGAACCAGGGTCTGCTCGTCCAACTGGGGCCTGGGGTGGGCCAACAGAGGGTGGCAGCTCTGCCACTGTCCTCAGTGCCCGGAAGCCTGAGGGCACAGGGACTGGCTGCCTTCCCAGAAAATACAGTTCCCTGTCTGCCTGGCTGTCCTTGAGCCCCAGCCCAGCTCTGTCCCACGGCAGGGTCCGGCAGCATGCAGGCCCAGGAGGAGAGCAGGCTCCCAGGCTGGGAGAGCCTCCCCATGGGGTAGGGCCCCGGGCCCACCTCTCCTGCCCTGGTCTGTAAGAGAGGCCCCAATGGCAGTTGGGTTCCCAAGCCAGGCCCCCACCCCCGGAAACCGGGGATCCCAGGGTCGCATGTGGCGTCATTCAGAGCAGGAGGTCAGTCTCTGGAGAACTCAAAGGAAGCACTTTGTTTTCAGGGAAGAAGACAGGGCAAGGGTCTCCTCCTTGTCCTGGATGAGTGAGTGGCCCTAGAATGGCCCCTCTCCAACCTGTCTCTGCCGGGGGAGAGGGGGCGGGGGGGGGGGGGGAGTGGTGAGCAGTGAGCAGGACAGAGGCCATTACTCCTCTCTGCTGGTTTTGAGGGTGGTGCACTGAAAAAACCTATGGGAAACAGAATGAATGAACAGACCTGCTTTCTAGTCCCAGCTCTGCATGGACCAACAGTGATGTGCTGTAGAATGGGACCGATATTTCCATCATCTGCTAGGCTTGCAAAAGGTGCCCCACCTTTCCCCGGTGTAAGGAGGAGGAAGGGCCAAGTGGGATCTTGAATCATTCCTTCCCCACTAGGAGGAGCACTTGGCACTTCCAGAAACTGGATTCTCTGCATGGCAGGAGGAGAGGGTGGAGTGGAGCCCAGTTTGCCCTGCTCTGCCCCCCATCTTTCCCCCACTCCTGCCCTCAGCCCCTCCCTCCAGGCTACCCTTAGGGCAAACATGGGAGCAGGCCCTTCCATCTCCCTCTGCCAGCCGGAGCCCTCTTCCAGCCCTCCCACCGCTGCCAGCCCTCCCCCGCTGGCAGGCTTTCACAGATTGAGGAGGAGGCCTGGCTGCCAGGAAGGGTGGGGCTGCCAGGCAGGCCCAACCGCAGAGTGACCCCACCAGTCCCGGAAACTCTCCAAACCTTGGACCTCGGCGGGCATCCGGCAACTCAGCAACTCAGAGGGCGTTGGCCTGTCCGGGCGACAGAGAGCTGCGTGCGGGATGCCTCTGAGGTCAGTTGCTGGAGACTTCCAGGAGGAGAAAGGAAAAGCCATGTTTGCTCTGTTCTGGAGTCAGAGGGCTTTGCCATGTGCTCACAGCGTTAGCAGAAATAGAGGTGCAGCCCTCAGAAATGCTTTATCCCCCAGATGCTACCATGGGGCCATGTGCGTATCCTAGATTTATTAATTTTTAAAAGGAATAATAGTCACACTTGTTGAGGAGTGTTCACCATGTGCTGCATGCTTGCTAAGCTCGCTACCTAAATGAATCCTTCAACAGCTCCGTTAGGCAAGATGGTTGTTGTGCTCATTTTATAAATGAGAAACGGAGGTCCACACGTCCAAGGTCACTTATGTACTAATTGCTAGAATCTGGATTCAAACTCAGGCAGGTCTGGCTGAGTCCAGACCTTGGGTTTTTAACTTTCTTGGAAAGCAGGAACCATAGTACACTCATCTCTGCAAAATGCCTAGTCCCTGGAAGGTACCCGATAAAGGCAAGTTGAATGGAGTGGGATGCATATTTTGTGGTCCTATTCTCTCCCATTATAGACTGATGAAATGACATAAAATACAGGAATGTACTGAGTTCAGCGGCAAGCATGGAGTAGGGCCACATAAATCTGCAGGTGAGGCCCAGCTTTCCTCCTTTCTACATCATGAATAATATGTTTTTATTTATTTTTTATTAATAGGGTTCCTTTTTAAATATGTTTTTATTGATTTCAGAGAGGAAGGAAGAGGGAGAGAGAGATAGAAACATCAATGATGAGAGAGAATCACTGATTGGCTGCCTCGTGCACACCCCACACTGGGGATTGACCCCACAACCCGGGCATGTGCCCTGACCAGGAATCGAACCCGTGAACTCCTGGTTCATAGGTCGAAGTTCAACCATGCCAGCCGGGCAGGAATAATATTTTTAGAGAACACAGCCTCCCCATGGGGGTGGGATGAGATGAAAAAGAAGTCTGTGACTCTCTTTGAGTCCCAGATGCTGCAGGTTTGGGAGTGGGGAGAAAAGACACCTGCTTTCTTTGCTGATGTCGCTGAGGGAGCCCTCCTCTCCGGCCGTGGTGGAGATGACGTGGTCCTGGAAGCATGGCCTGCTCTGAGCTCTGAGAGGCTGAGTCCTGCTGAATGGTCAACGCATGTGGGGAGCACTGCCTGCGTCATAGCACCTAGGGACGCCGGGGCTGCTGGGGTTTTGTGAGAGGGACAGGGGCCTTTGGCGGGACAGCTGGGCTGACTCCCGGTCCTCTGGTTCCCATGCGGAGTCACAGGTGCACTTGGCCTGCCTCCTCCTTCCTGGCCACTGCAGACCTGGCCCTCCCTCAGGGGCCTCCTGCCTGCCTGCCTCTTTGATGCTCCATAACAATTCCTGCCGTGCAGCCAGAGGCTACAGGTACACACTGGCCTGGATGGCTCAAGGCCGGTCAAGGTAGAGCTATCCCCTATTTCCACCCCTTTAACCCTTTCTGGGCTGGGTCTCAACATTGACTTGGAATCAGTCGAGTCCATGAAGAAAACGGAACTCATTCCAGAAACCTCAGCAGAGGGACAACTAATGATGAAGGCACTGGAAGGGATGGCAGGGCAGACTGGGGTGAGCCATAGCCGCCACAGGAAAATGGCACCATTCCTGGACTGCGTGGTCAGAGAGAGGAGGTGGCGTTTGCACAGCCCTGCAAGAGCCGGAACCCTGCTGGGAGCTCCCTGCCAGGGATGGGGGCCCCAGAGGTGATCCTCCAGATAAAGGGGGGAAGGGAGAGAAAGAGTTGTTTCTACACCCTCCTCCACCCGCCAGGCTTCTGGCTAGTTGAGACCTGGCACAGAGGCAGCATACAGGGGCCAACCCCTGTGAGAGAGAGGCGGGGGGTGATGGGGGGGTGGCGGGCATGGACCTGAGGGCAAACCAATGCCGTGCCTAATCTGCAAGTCAGACCTTCGGAAAAGACTGTGTCCTTCCAACACGGTGCTCTAGGGGTTTGGCCCTGAAATGGAAACTTGCTTCTGGAAATTCTCAGATCCTCTGTTGATCATTACAATCAATAGGAGTGCCCAAACCTTACCCTGCTGGGAGGATCTTTTTATTTTATTTTATTTTATTTTTTTTGAGGAAGGTCTGTTTCCTGTGCATTTTTCAAAGGATAGAGGTACTTCTCTGGTGTTTTTAATGAAGCATCAAGTTTCATGTTAGAACATAATATCAGTCTTGGGGGGGGGAGGCGGGGGCAGACAGATCTGTGGCAGCAGCAAGATGGACTAACATGCACATGAAGGGCATACTGGACGCAGGGTCCGGAGACCCCAGGATCAGCCTCAGCTCAGACAGGTCACTTACCGTCTCTGAGCCCCAGGCTCCACATCTTTCCAGTGGGAACCCTGTGTTTCGCAGGGTCCTGTCAAAGTGACGGACAGAATGTAGGCTGTGCAGAGGCTTGTGCCTGTGAACACACCCTCACAGGAGAGTTGCTCAGCTTGTTTTGGAGTTGATGTTGCCATTGGAGGGGGCACCCAGAATCCTTGTTTTATAACCATAGAGTCAGAGACAGCTGGGCTCCAATTGGCTGGTCCACACTCTCTTCTGAAGGAGGAACCTATTCTCCAAAGCTCTCAAGACGACCCTTTTCATGCTCCCTCCCTGGCTCCCTCCAGCCCTCCCGCCCTCCCTCCCACAGTATTTGGAGCACTTACTCTTTGTCAGGCGCTTGCTGGTTGCTGGCCCAGCAGGAGTAACAGAGACAGATATGGATCCCCGCAGAACTTACAGTCCAGCACTTGAAAGTCTTGGCAAACAATTCCTGTTGAATACTTCCAGTAACAGGATGCTCACTACCTTGGGACAGCCTATTTTCGGGGTTAGTTTTTCTTTGTTTAAACGGAATCCTGCCTCCATATCTTGCTTGTTCTGACCTCTGGAGCTATATAAAACACATCTAACCCCATCTCCTCTGCCACCACCCTTGAGACATGGGAAAATAAACAGGCTAAGTTCAGAAAATAGTCTCACTCTCCAGTTCCCACTCATGAAAGGGAAGCTGATTCTCTGTGAAATTAAATTCCTCTAGGTCCTGAGGTGGGAGCCAGGGTGGGCTATAATCTGGGTGCGTGGGCCCTGCTCCTGTCCTGCCCGGGGCTGAGGGAAGCTGTGTCGGGACGCAAGGCGAAGGTTTGCAGGTGGCCAGGGAGGTGGGCCCGAGTGGAGCGAGGGGGTCCGCCAGTCTGGAGTGGGGTGTATGTGAGGCATGCCTGGCTGTCTGCCCAGGACAAGCTCGAGCTCCAGGTTTCTGGTCTGATTCACAGCTTCCTCTCTCCCCAAAGGAATCCCCTTTATAGCTCTCGAGGCCTGACCCCAGCGTCCCTGTGAACATCGTCTGACAGCTGCATGGAGTGCAGCCGGGCTCCTGTGCCGGGTGCCAGCTGGACGTGCTTGGCGGCCAGGGCCTGGGAGCCACCTCTCGGGATGTCAGCGGAGAGCTGCAGCCGCCCTTCCGTCAGCAGGAAGCCCAGCCACAAACACTTGGACAGGAAGCCCCGGCGCTGGCCAGCTGAGCCAGATCTGGTTTCTCCTGCGTCTGAGGCTTTGGCCCGGGCTGGAGGAAGGCGAGCCAGGTGCTGTGGCCACACTGACAGGGCCGGCGGTTGGGCTCCCCCTTGGGCTGGGGATGTGGGATCCAGGGTGTGAGCGGAAAAGCATCATCAAGCTGGGCCAGAAGAGGTGCTTCCTGGAGGAAGGTCGAGGGAGTAGGGAACACAGCGTCTAGCAGAGCGGGGCCAGCTGGCTGAGATGCGCAGAGACTCCTTTGTGATGGTTCCAGACACAATGTGTCCTTGGGCCCAGACCTCCGGCACAAACCCAGACCAACCTCCAGGTGCCTGCACCTCCGGGAAAGCACCCCACAGTCTCTCAGGGCGAGATGTCCACACATTCCCAGCTTGACGAATGACTTCTCTCAGGGGAGGACTCTTTCATAACCCACCAAGCTGCATCGTGAGGGAATTAATAAAAAAATAGAGTGAGCTCAGCTGGAGACAAAGGCAATTTTGCATCCAGGGCTGACATTTTTGCTTCTAAGTGCTCTGTGTGATTATCCCCAAGGCAGACCATGTGTGCACACAGCCGCCCGGAGGACCCCCAGGATTTAGAGCACTTGCATTTTGCACAAGTCACCCAGGTAGCCTGAGAGCCCAGTAAGAGATGGCTGGCATCCGGGGAAGTAGATTGGCTCAAGGTCACGTAGCTCAGCAGTGGCAGAACTAGGGCCACTGCCATGAGTTCTGCTGCTCCGGAAAGAGAACTTCGATGGTTACCTTCCAAATGCCTGAGCAGCCTTCACCTGTGCCTTCAGGGGACCTGCTCTGGGTTGGAGTCTGCTGAGAATATCCCATTGCTCTGTCAAAACCCATGTTGAAAACCTCCTCCTGGATGAACCCTGCCTGTGGCTTTCTCGGCATCCCCACAGCTTTTTATTTATGCCGTTTTAATAATCTAGATTTTCTCGTAGTCTGTGGGATCTATGGTTCTGACTCAAGACCACGAATCAGCTACTTTCTCTGTAAAGAGCTAGAGAGTGAACATTTAAGCTTTGTGGTCCATTTGGTCTCTGTTGTGACTGCTCAACTTGGCCGTTGCAGTGCACAATCAGCCATAGACAACATGTACACAAATAGGTGTGGCTGTGTCCCAATAAAACTTTATTCACACACAAGTTTGTACTAACAGTGGGTTAGATTAGGCCCGTGGCTGTGGTTTGCTGACCTCTGCTTACCACTCCTTGAAGACAAAGACTTATTTGTTCCCATATAACCACAAGCGCTCTCCCCACCCCCAGCACCCAGGGTGCATCGACCATAATTATACTTTGTGCTTAAGAAAAGTTCAGTGTTAATCTGATGAACGAATATATGAACGAATGAGTGAGTTTGCAAATGAAAATATTATAGAACAGTTAGGCTTTGATTTTGATGCTCGTCTGGAAGCAACAATCTATGGCTGAGTATAATCTGATTGAGGGGGATTTGTAGGCCTGGGTTAAACACCAATTCTGCTGCGTTCGAGATGTGAAAATGTGGGCACATAACTTCTCTTTCTCAGCTTGCCCATATGAGATATAGGGTCCTACAACCTCAGAGAGTTG